AGGGCAGTACCCGGATCCCCATACACTTTTTATGGCCAATAAATTGCATATAAGGCTTCAAAATGGGGACATTTAAATTTCTGAGTTCTACCCCCATAGACTTGCATTGAGTTCTAAGTTCGAGTTAGAACTTTTTCCATGTTCAAAAGTTCGAGTTAGAACCGAACACGGGGGTGTTCGGCTCATCACTACTCCCGTCACCCTAAGCTCAGTATATAGGGAGCTACAGCTCGCGGTATACTGAGACGCCGCAGCCAGAGCGGATCCCGACGTAGATGACGGGATCCGCCCAGCTGCGTGAGTGACAGCTGGTTCTGCCTATCTAGAGGCAGAGCCAGCAGTACCCGCCCCCTCCCACGTCCGTTCCGCCAGTCAGCGCTGGAGGATCGGAGCAGGGAGAGGGGAATCTAGCCCCTCCCCTGTCACGGCAGAGAGCCGTGACAGGATCGAGAGGTGAGCGAACGCCGGTATGTGTTCGCTCACCTCCCGATCTACTGAGCCGACCTGTGACAGTCTCATTGTCACAGGTCGGCTAGAACTATGAGGTGAGTGGAAATCACTCATCTCATAGTTCTCCTTTAAGTAGTTTTCTCTTAACTTTAGTATACATAGTATCCTGCATTATTTTTTTAAATTCTTCTCCATTTTTTAAACGCTATAAATTCAATACATTGTGCACATGGAATTCTTAATAAGTGCTAGAATCTAAAATCTACCTAATAAAAGGTCAATTTAAAAAAAAAACCACAAATGCTGAACTGGTGATTTTATACTTTTGAACATGGACAGCTTCAAATTATTTTTAGAAAAAGTAGAGTTCACCCAGTTTAACTCACCAGCTGTTGAGATAACGGGATGTCCAGGATTTTATGAAATCTACGTTAGTGACCACGCCTCCAGCCGGGGATCTGAGGTCATCGGAACTGTTACCGTTGAAGTTTCCGCACGCCCCGCACACCAACCCCAACAGGGCGTCTAACACACGGATTGAGAGGCTGCCTATAGTTTTCAACTCAATTTTCACGTTTACGCCAATCTGGATGGAAACTGAGCTGACCTGGGCAGAAGCTGAGAGAATACCGAAAGTGATGGGGAAAACATCTGGACGTCCATTCACCTAGAAAATGCAAGGTGAAAATGTCACAGCAAAGATATAACAGCTACATTTTTCTCCATCTAATAGGGTTGGGAGGGAATATTGCCAGGACTTCAATGGCTTGTGGCAATGTGGCTTGTGGCAGTGACCATCAGCCCATTGAATATTGAATAACTGCCCCATGTGTGTGGAAACATTTTCCAATAGCTACTAGAAAGTACACAAATAAATCAATTTATTTCAGGAAAACAAATGCAAATTTGATTAGAAAAACGTACATTCTCATTAATGTATAATTGGTAAATCAGTGTAGTTGGCTTAAAGGAGAACTATGAGGGGGGTGCTTTTCACTCACCTCATAGTTCTAGCCGACCTGTGGCAATGAGACTGTCACAGGTCGGCTCAGTAGATCGGGAGGTGAGCGAACATATACCGGCGTTCGCTCACCTCTCGATCCTGTCACGGCTCTCTGCCGTGACAGGGGAGGGGCTGGATTCCCCCCTCCCCGCTCCGATCCGCCAGCACTGACTGGCGGAACGGACGGGGGAGGGGGCAGGTACAGCTGGCTCTGCCTCTAGATAGGCAGAGCCAGCTGTCACTCACGCAGCTGGGCGGATCCCGGCACAATTGTCGGGATCCGCTTCAGCTGCGGCGTCTCAGTATACCGCGAGCAGCTGATCGCGGTATACTGTGGCGTCTCAGTATACAGCTCGCTACAGCTCGCTGTATACTGAGCCTAGGGTGACGGGAGGGTGCTAGTTTGTGTACTCCCGTTACCCTAAGGAGAACTATGGGGAAAAGACTTAACCCCATAGTTCTCCTTTAAAGTAGAAACCCAGAAATATTTTCTCCCCATTTAAATAGAGCAGATAGACTGGGAAGAGTTAGAAGCTCTGCTAGGTTCTTATTGCTGTCTGGGTCCCCATTGGAGTCATCTAATCTTACTTTTAGTCCTGTGCACCTTCTTTATCACCTGGAAAGAAATTGAGGGGTATCCCTGTCTCTGGAGATAGGACGTGAAAGGAAAACTCCCCAGAGGGAATACAGACAGCGATTAAAACCTGAGTGGTGGCTCTGGATTCAATACCAAGATGGGTTCATCTAAAAGGAAAAGGAATTGGCACAGGCTTTGGTAGACCAGGCTGTAAGGCAGCTGATGGACCAAAGTTACCATCAAAAGTGGCTTAACATTTTGGAAGATAGTGTCCATGAAATATATTTGGAACAACTTATTGCAAGGTTTGCTTTATGCATAAAAAACAGTGTGTTTCAGGGGCTATTTCATGGCTAAATGAATGTAATTCGATTGATAAACTCTATTTTAGGATTAAAAAGGTGTATGTATGAAAAGCTTTAAGAAGAAAAAAAAAACTGAAAATGGTTTAATCCTTCCACCTCTTCCAAAATAAGTTTTAAAAAGTTTTTGCTGGAGTTATACTTTAAGCTTGTGGTTCTCAACTGGTGGGTCGAAACCCCGTTTTCAGTGGCCAGCGGTATGCCTTCCACTCCAGTACATGAGAGGCTCCTTAGCCCAACTAGTGCAGCACTGTCAGTTCTCGTGCTGAGTAGCCATTAAAAATGTTCTGCCTGGTGCCGAGTGTCAGCTCGAGGTGGGGTGGGCTGGAGGTATGGCTGTGAGGAAGCTCCATCCATCCATGCGTGCATTGTTTACAGTTCCCTTGCGTGCCCTGTAGAGGTGCCTGGGCTGGAGTGATGTCACATTTTTGGTCCCGGCACCTCTAGAGGGTGCACAGGGGACCTGTACAAGCAATGCACATATGGATGGAGCTCCGCCAGAGCACAGCAGCTGACACTGGACCCAGGGTGAAGATCCGCTACAGTTTTCATAAGGTTTTCACTGGGTGAATCCTAAAAAATTTTTAAAAAATACATTTTTGGGGGAGTGTATAGGTGTGTGTGAGATTGCGTCTGTGGTTGTGCCTTTCAGTGTTTTTGAGGGCCCGTTCACACTAGTACAGTACGTTACTCGCACAGTCCTGTGCAACTAATGCACTGTACCATGAAATTTACCTACTGCGTTCTGGTGCGGGAGGTGCGTTGCCATTCATTTGAATGGCACCCCAAGTGCACTTCCCGCCCACAGTTCGATCGCCTGCACTGGAACGCGTGGTGCCACAATACTTTGCATTCCAGTGCAGTGGGACTTGGGTCGTGACTTAATGACCGAGGACAAATGTGGGTCTTGAGGATACACAGGTTGAGAACCACTGCTTTAAGCAACCTACAGGTATTCGGTTCTTAAAGGAGAACTATGAGGTGACTGCTTTTCACTCACCTCATAGTTCTAGCCTAACCTGTGGCAATGAGACTGTCACAGGTCGGCTCAGTAGATCGGGAAATGAGAGAACACATACCGGCGTTCGCTCACCTCTCGACCCTGTCCCAGCTCTCTGCCGTGACAGGGGAGGTGCTGGATTCCCCCCCTCCCCGCTACGATCCGCCAGCGTTGACTGGCGGATCGGATGGGGGAGGGGGCGGGTACAGCTGGCTCTGCCTCTAGATAGGCAGAGCCAGCTGTCACTCACGCAGCTGGGCGGATCCAGACATAATTGTCGGGATCTGCTTCAGCTGCGGCGTCTCAGTATACCGCGAGCTACAGCTCCCTATATACTGAGGTTAGGGTAACGGGAGGACGCTAGTTTGTGTCCTCCCGTTACCCTAAGGAGAACTATGGGGAAAAGCCTTAAGCCCATAGTTCTCCTTTAAGAAGCAGATGGTTTAAAAGGGAAATAGCTGGTAAAAAAAAGAGCTTCCATTCATGTTTCACACTTAGATACAAGTGACTTACCCAGACTTCCTTGTTCTTAGAGAAGGTCACTAGGCCTCCACGGAGGAAAATATGAAGCCTGGCGACCGATGCTGGTACTCCTGAGCAGCTCTGAATGTCAGCAAAAACTCTGAACCATTCGTCTGAATCCCTGTTACTTAAAGATATCACCTCCACAGGAACATTTCCAATAGGTCCACCTGAGAGCCCATCAAATGTGACAAACGTCTGTGGGCTGAATGTGCATTCACCCTCCATATTGTAGCAGCCCCGCACGCCGTTCACCACACCACAACGTTGATTGTCTCTGCATGACATGGCTGTGCAGGTCACGCCACCAGCTTGGCACCTGCATTGTAGACTGCAGTCAGCAGTGATAAAGGACTCTCCATCCTAAATGCAAAAGAAAGTTCAGCCAAATTACACCAACAGGTCTCTGCAACCTTTGACAAATAAAACAGAGAACAACCCACGTGCCCTCTTAGATCAAAGACGTAACAGCACTTAATGCTAATTTGCAGCTTTTAGAGCAAGCAAGATACTTTCTTGTATTAAAAAAATTGCATACACCCCAGAAAAAGGGGCATAATCTGTCCTGGTCCAAAGCATTAGGAAAACCTTATCTTAAAGTGACACTAAACTCAGAAGTCTTAAAAATGCATTCATGTACCTTAACTATGAACAACAATGTATCTTATTTGTGTATCACTCGGCTGTAGATCCTCCAATCATCTCTGAATTGGTGCTGACACCGTCCTTCCTTCTGGAGGGGGGGGCTACGTCTGTTCCCCATGATCCCTGTGTGTGTTGTAAAGTAGTCACCGATCCAAGCTCAATCCCATTATGGACTACAACCTCATGTTTAGTTTATTACTTTGTATTGAGATTGTAGTCCATCCCGGGGGGGGGGGATCTACAGCCGAGTGATACACAAAACATTCATATTTTTGGTAATAGTAAAGGTATTTGAGATTTAACTCCTGAGTTTAATGTGGCTGTAAATTTGCAGCTCAGTTTCAGGCAGCAGCTACCAAAAAGAATGTTGTGTTATTGAAAATTGGGCAGAGAGGGCAACTAGATTAAAAGGTCAAAGAGCATCTTAACTGTGAGGGTATATTAACTGAACACATAATCTGAGAAGAGAAAAGAAAAGAGGGATGAATATGATACCCGGGTCACTATCTACAAGGAGTTTGCATGTTCTCCCTGTGCTTGCGTGGGCTTCCTCCGGGCACTCCAAAGACATGCTGGTAGCTTAAAGGTGAACTATGGAGTTAGGGCTTTTCCCCATAGTTCTTCTAAGGGTAACGGGAGGACACAAATTAGCGTCCTTCCGTCACCCAAAGCTCAGTATACTGTATAGGGAGCTACAGCTTGCGGTATACTGAGACGCCGCACCTGGAGCGGATCCCGACTTAGATGATGGGATCCGCCCAGCTGTGTGAGTGACAGCTGACTCTGCCTATCTAGAGGCAGAGCCAGCTGTACCCGCCCCCTCCCCTGTCCGTTCTGCCAGTCAGCGCTGGAGGATCGGAGTGGGCAGGGGGGAATCCAGTCCCTCCCCTGTCACGGCTCTCTGCAGTGACAGGATCGAGAAGTAAGCGAACGCCGGTATGTGTTCGCTCACTTCCCGATCTAGTGAGGTCGGCTAGAACTATGAGGTGAGTGAAAAGCACTCACCTCATAGTTCTCCTTTAATTGGCTCCGGTCTAAATTGGCCCTGTATGCATGTGAGATGGGGACCTCAGATTGTAAGCTCCTTGAGGGCAGGGACAGAAGTGAACGTGCGCTGTGTAAAGCGCTGCGTAAAAATTGTTGGCGCTATATAAAGGAGGACAAATGTTCAATTTCTGCATTCAGTAAGGATTTATTCACTGTAGGAGCTGGAAAAATGTGGAACTGTTTTCCACTGGAGCTAATTCTTACCAGCTCAGTAGATGACTTCAGTAAAGGGCTGGGTGTGTTTCTACCTAAACCTCACTTTGCCTGGCCACAGGTTTAAATTATGTTGTAGGAGTCCAAAGTGATTCCAACTGAAAACCACTTGCATGTTATTGTCTCCTAGTTTGAGATACAGGGAACAGCTACTGCTGTAACGTCGATGTAAGTTGCCTCAACTTGCTCTGTTGGCTCTTCTCAATTTGAAGAAGTGACTCTATTCACAGTTATAAAAATGCTAAAAGAAAACTCTTCCCATAGGATCCTTCCACCTACAATAGATAAAACATACACTTTATGACCAAAAGATTGTGGACACCTGACTATCGTGCCTACAGTATATGAGCTTGTTGGACATTCCATTAAAATCCATAAACATTATTATGGAACAGCCCCCACTTTTTACAAAATTTTGGAGCGTGTCCGTGGAAATTTGTAATTTTCAGCCAAATAAGCATATGGGAGGTCAGGTACTGATGCTGGATGAGTAGACTTGGCTTGCAATCAGTGTCCAAGTTCATCCCCAATGTGTTTTTATTGGAAACACCTGAACTCTATCATTTAAAGGTGTGTCATCATAGTTTTTGCCATACCATATAAGCAGGTTTGATGGTTAGGTGTCCACCAAAAATGTGGCCATATAGTTTACATATGATGGAGTAGCACAATAAAAGGGAACAAAAATCATTACTTACACTCATGTATCTTCCATTGAATACACATCCACACTTGTCAACTGTAACACAAGTATCTCCATCCAGGACGAACCCAGCATTACATTCGCAGCCTTCAAAGCATCTATATGTACATTTTGTTGATGCTGTGAGACTGGAGCAAGTGTTATCACAAGTTCTGGTGCAAAGTTCATAATGGCTGTTGGCCGGACAGAAGAAGGCTGCAAAAGAAAAAAAAAATACTTAAAAGGAGAACTATGGGGTCAGGGCTTTTCCCCATAGTTCTCCCAAGGGTCACGGGAGAACACAAACTAGCGTCCTCCCGTCACCCAAAGCTCAGTATATAGGGAGCTACAGCTCGCGGTATACTGAGATGCCACAGCCGGGACAGATCCCAACAATTATGTCTGGAACCACCCAGCTGCAGGATTGACAGCTGGCTCTGCCTATCCACAGACGCAGAGACAGCTGTGCCAAACCCCTCCCCCGTCCATTTCGTTAGTCAGCGCCGGAGGATCGGACAGGGGAGGGGGGGGAATCCCTGCAGGGAGCCATGAGTGACAGTCACGGCTCTCTGCAGGGATAGATCGAGAAGTGAGCGAGCGCCGGTATGTGTTCGCTCACCTCCTGATCTACTGAGCCGACCTGTGACAGTTTAATTCAAGGTTTTTTGTTTTTTTTCTATATCCGCGTGTTAAACAAGATGGCTATGGTTAGCTCAAAGAGAGTATCAGTTTAGCATGTGAATCAGAACAAACCTCTAATCAGTTGTAACTTATTGTTTCTTTAATCCTCTGTTTATTCTAGACCCCAATAAAATATTTTCCTTTCTTTTTACTTACGACAGAATGCAGCGGTTCTCCAAGAGCTGATAGTAACACCAAAGGTATGACAAGCAGCGACATAGGCCTGAATACTCTTGCACACGATGTTGTCCTTGCCGTCAACAGCACAAGCATCATAGGTACAATAGCCGAAATAGTCATTTGGATTGACCGTGGAGTGACATGACTTGAACGGTCCTGCTGGGTCGGTAATTATGCCGCAAGAGGACTTTGCCTTGTATATCTGCAACTTGGCATCAGTACATACTGGGCATGTACCTTCTTCACAGCCATCGCTGCACTTAGCACCAGCGATGCTGACTTTCCACGAAGCACCAAAATCATTCACTTTTTTAACAACCTGCCCGTTGGGAAGCTGGAATTCATCTTTATCATTACCATTGAAATTGCCACAGAGGCCTCCCATCTTGCCACTGTATGAGCTGGGAATACTGAGGATGACATGATAGATTGCGTCGTAGAAAATCTTCAAGCCAAAGTCTGTTTGTAGGACAACATTGACTCCTTCCTGATTAATGACAATACTGTCATCTTCAAGACTCAATGGCAATGTGATAAGCTCCCCATTGACCTGTGAAAAGAAGAGGTTTTCATTAAGGTAATCCTTTGAAAGCTGTATTGAGCACATTGAAATCCAGACAAGCATAAGGTAATAGTTAAAAAATATTTGAATAAGAAAAGTGTCCACAGGAGCAAGCAAAAATCATAAACAGGAACAAGCCAAGGTCAGGGTAGTGGGTAGTCGTATAAGTCAGGTCAGGAACACGGAGACTATCGTTGTCAGTAAAAAGCCAGGAGCAGGAACCAGGTGAGAACATCAGCCAGGTTTGGATCATACACCGAATCAGACTACTCAGAGCAGCTGGAATGTGCTAGCAGGTAAGACCACGCAAGGACTGAGCAGGCCCGGCGCTACCGCAAGGCAAGTCAGGAGGCCGCCTGAGGGCGCTGCAGGGTGAGGGCGGAAAAATGCACTGGGCACTGGGACTGGTTTATACAGTATATAGTGAGTAGGGTGACATCATCACTCAGAAACAGGAAACTCCCATCTGGCTCTCTCCGATGATGCTCCCTATTTGGCCATAAGAGGGAGCCTGGTAGTAGTGAGCAACGTAACACAGTCTGTTCAGACAAAGAAAAATAAAAAGCTTCCTATAGACGAAGATAGAAGAAGATAAATTGTTTGATTAAGGGTATTACCGAAAGCATAAGTGCACTGTCTCATTTTGGCCCCCTTAGGATAACCTCATCGATCCCTCCCTCCCCATGCACAGAGGAAAACATACCAAGTACCAATGAGCCCGGACTCTGTGGTTGATGTCTTCTTCCCCTGGCCTCCACTGTACAGTACATCCCAATAGTTTTTTTTGCAGTTCATCTCCCTCCATCTCCCTGCCAGGAGACAAGACCCTGGCATGGAGAGGAGCAGAAGAAGTGCACTGCACCGCAGGTTATAGGAACTTTATTTTGAAGTTTCAAGTTAAAAAATTAAATGTATAAGTGCAAATGAAAACCAAATTATGATTGTAGAAAACACCTACCTTTACTTTAGATCTCATATCTCGCTCGATGGCAATCTTGTAGCCATACACATACACCACCACCAGTCTTGTCACGGCCACTGTACCATCGCCATAGCTCTCATTCTCTACAACCACGGAAAAGGTTACAAGTCGGGAATCTTCAACCACAACCTTTGCAAAGAAATATGTGCAAGTGCCTTGGAAGTCAAATCTTAGACCATCAAAGGTGGTATAATGTGGCTCTCCTTCGCCATCACATATGCTGTACCCCTTGGGTTGGCATCCCCAAGCTCCATTGACAAGTTTGCATTCTTCCTCGGGTCCGCAAACATCTGACACGCAAATAACAATGCCATCGTCCCCACACCGGCACCTCTGTTTGCACTGACCCTGTGGGTAGAAGACCTCATTTTTCTGGTAATACTTATCCTGGTAGACACAGCCACAGTCACGGATGGGCACACACTTGCGACCACTTAGAATGAACCCATTGTTACAATAACAGCCTTCCTTACAAGGAGAGTCACAGCCAGTCGGTGAAGAGAGCCCATAACATGTGACTGGGCAGGCATTTCCACACAGTTCGTAGTGAGTGTTTACAGGGCAGGACAAACCTAAGAGAAAATGGAGTTTACCAAATGAGTGTTTTCGCACTGATAAGTCCAAACTACAGCAGAAGCACCCAGAAAACCTATTACATGTTGTCAGTAATTGGTAGCTCAATTTGACATTAAGCACCTCTTTGTAACCAAGTCGACAAAGTGTGAAAATGTGAGGTGGCTTTCATTTTACCTTATTATAACGTGTGTGTGTGTATATATATAGTGCAACATAAATGGGTAAGCCGTATTAGTCCAGTAGACTATGTATATATATATTGTATATATGTATTTAAAAAAACATATGTGGGCCCAAAGTGTTTCTCCTTGCATAAGACTTCCCATAAAATGCATCAAAGGGAAAACCTAAGGGCTCCAAAGTACTATCTATGTTTTTATATGACCACTGAAAATAAATTTGACCTGCACCAGTAAAGGCGCCCACTCTGTCTTCTCTTCCAAGATCCCACAGCTTTCCAGGCTTTTTTTGGGGCAGCATCCTGCAGTATGCCTAAGAGGATTTCCCATTGAGGAGAGTTTTTTGCTGCGCTTCACTGCTTTTACTTTGAATTTAAATAAAGGCTTATGCAGTGGGGAACAGTTTGTACCTTCATCTAAATTTTTGTATATATATATATATTTGTTTCAGCCGTGTATTTTTCTGTTTTGCTGACATTTGACCTTACTAAAAGTTGTGCCTTGGGACAAATTTTCTTTAAACTAATAATTTTTATAAAAATTATTTGGCTTCGGAGCCAGTAAAGCATTGCAACCAGTGAAGATTATCTCTCCCGTCCCTGTCCATACTGAATTATGGACATTCAGGAGGGAGCGTCAATGGAATACAAGTGTGGTGGCTGTCAATGGATCTTTCAATGGAGCCATGCCATTTTCAAAAAACAGCAGTAGCCTGCAAGGAGAAGAACCCTGCAATTCAGGTAAGTGTGGGGGGAGTTTTAAAAAGGTTTGGGGGGGGGGGGTTGCGATGTAAACATGTTTCATGTTACACCGGGTGCATTGGTGTAGCATGGAACATGGCGTAAAACTTAATGGTACAATTTTCCCTTAATTTCAGAATTGTCTTCACATTTGCTGTAAATGAAAACTCAATGATTACTTACTGCAGAAAGTTGGTTTCCTCCATTCCTGAATTTTCACACCAGCAGCTTGGCATGCGGCCACATAGAGCCCAATGGCTTTACAGAATGTGAACGGGTGTCCCTTGTATTGGCAGGCATCAAAAATGCAGTCATTGAAATAAGGTGTTGGGTCAATGACTGAGCGACACAGAGCAAAAGGCCCATTGGACTTGATGATCAGTCCACAGTAATTGTCACCCTTGTAGGCTTGCTTTTGTGCTTCTGTACAAAGAGGGCAACTTTCAGTACACTCAGGGCTACAACCAGGAACGTCACCGACTTTCCAGCTGTTACCAAAAGCAACTGCATTTGCTGCTGGTTTTCCATCCTTCATGTTAAAGTCATCGTTGGGGTTCTTGTTGTTGTTGCCACACAAGCCTTCAACAGCATTGGTATAAGTGCTAGGTATGGTGACCGCCACATAGCTGTCCCAATCATAAGTAACTGTGACGTAAAAATCTGTTTTTAAAATGCCCTGTCCACCATTGGTGTATGCCACCACTTTGTTGATTTGGAAGTAGAATGGCAGAGAGGTGACAACGCCATTAACCTAAAATCAAGAAACATTTAGCGAATAAGTAATTTCTGTATAGATACAGTCTATCTATCTATCTATCTATCTATCTATCTATCTATCTATCTATCTATCTATCCTTTGTGAGCCATCCATCCACCCATTCATCTTTCCAACTATTAATCCATCTTCCATCCATCCATTCAGCTATCCTCCATCCATCAAGCTATTGTTCATCCATCCATCCATCCTGCCAGCCTCCATCTATCATTCATCATCCATCCATTCATGACTCATTTATTTAAAACATAGATACATACCAATATTTGACCTGGATAGTCCATGCTTAACGTGAAGATGGTATCATAAACTTCCAAGGTCACAGTTTTAGTATAGGACACAGCTTTGTCCCCACCTCGATTGTTGTTCTGGACTTTGACATTAAAATAGGTCAGTGAAGGGCTACTGGAGTTCACAAGTTGGTATATACAGGTACCCATGAAGTCATATCTTTTGCCATCGAAGGTTGTGTAGTGAGGATCTCCAGAACCTGTGCAAGTGGAGAAGCTTAAGGGTTGACATACGCGGACTCCATTCCTGACCACGCACTGCTCACCAGCCTTACAGCTGCTCTCCTTGCAAACCACCATGCCAACGACTGGGTCACACCGGCAGAGCACACGGCAGTTTTCGTCGCCCCAAAACTCTTGATTGGCCTGGTAGTAGACACCATTGTAGGAGCATCCACAGCTAGAAGTAGGAACGCACTTATCACCACTAAGAACAAAGCCATCGTTACACTGACAGGTCTCCACGCAATCTTCAGTGCACCGGGATGGGGCAGTGCGATCGATGCATGTGGCTGGACAGGCATTGCCGCAGAACTCGTAATGACTGTTTGCGGTACATGGTAGAACTGAAATATTTAAAAAGTATATATACACATTAAAATTATATTCATATAATTAATATATATAAATGTAAAATGATATATAGAATGTTTAAAGGTTCATGAATAATATTTTCTTTTTTAACTAACAAATTCCTTACCATAGCATTTTCATGCTGTAAAAGAGCTCTGTAGCCAACAGGATCACTTTTACTTAAAAGCCCTCAGCTTGCAGAACAAAAAGGAAACAGGCTCATGGTTGCTTCAGCTTGAATTAGGCACTTCAGGCCAGAACTAGGGACAAGGTTAGTGTTTGCCACCAAGTTGGGCTCGTAATGAACTCTGCATGTTCTCCTACACCCAAAGGACAAACTTATGGGCAAGTTTGCCCAGGCGACAAATGTGGACTCCTTAAAGGAGAACTATGGGGTCAGGGCTTTTCCCCATAGTTCTCCTTAGGGTAACGGGAGGACACAAACTAGCGTCCTCCCGTCACCCTAGGCTCAGTATACCGTAAGATACAGCTCGCGGTATACTGAGATGCCGGAGCGGATCCCGACATCGATGTCGTGAGTGACAGCTGGCTCTGCCTATCTAGAGGCAGAGCCAGCTGTACCCGCCCCCTCCGCCTCCCCCGTCCGTTTCGCCAGTCAGCGCTGGCGGATCGGAGCAGGGAGAGGCGAATCCAGCCCCTCCCCTGTCACGGCAGAGAGCCGTGACAGGATCGAGAGGTGAGCGAACCCAGTATGTGTTCGCTTGCCTCCCGATCTACTGAGCCGACCTGTGACAGTCTCATTGTCACAGGTCGGCTAGAACTATGAGGTGAGTGAAAAGCACCCCCCCTCATAGTTCTCCTTTAATGCTTGGCCTGACCTGTGATCTCTAGTCTGGTGAAGAATTATGGCCAATAACAAGGCTTTGAAGATGTGCCCGCCACTTCCTATACAATTCAGCTGTCCCGGTGTCCTTTTGTCAGTGCGCGTTGGAGTTATCAAGAAACAGCTGAAAGCTTTGTGATGGAGAGACAGTTTGTACTATTTGTACAGTGCCAGTAGTGTGTTAGCACAGAGTTATGCATTGCTATTTTCCCTACTGCATGCTTCCTCTGCTACAGTACAGTTATTTGCAGTGTGGTGGGCTGCAGAGAGTGCAGTGTATCCCACCCTGTATTTACTGTGCTTTTCAGTGGAATCATTATTAATGTGAATTGCATTGTGGTGCAACCGTGTACTGCCACTTGTATTCACAGTGAATCCCCCCCCCGTCCTTTTTAGGACCACTACATCTTCAACCCCACTATCGTCACAGCTGCTAATAAACTTAGGCAATCCCCTATTGTTACCATACATAAGGTGACATTAATGGGTTTTTTTTACCCTCCCCCCATGTTAGTGTAGTGACTTACCTTAAATGATGGCTCTTAATCTGTTCATCTTCTTCCATACTGTTATTAGCTGTCCCTCCAGCGCTGCTGCAGGTCTCCGATCCAGCGCTGACTTCTCTGTCCTCCTCTTCTCTGATGTCCCACGGAGTCTGTGCGGGTGCATGCTGCTCCGTAGACTTACCTTGTGTCTTTCCTCGTCTCCCGGCCGAACATCTGAACTGCGCATGCGCCCACCCCAAGATCCTTTGCGGCCGCCCGAGAAATTTTCAGATGCTCGGGCGGGAGCGCGCGGCGGAGACACGGGTAAGTTTAAGCCTGTTTCAAAAGTTTTTGCATGTATCTACTGCTTGCTATGTCCTGCTGGCACCACTAAGTCTGGACTGCTTCCCCCACACAATAGGCTCCCTGCAAAGATAACTATATCTTCCTCCCTGATGAGCCTGCTGACATGATCACTTTGATAATCCCTTTATCATTTACCTTTTCAGCTATCTCCCAGAAAAGTTAATTTCATCAAAATAATGTAATCTTACCTAGGGGAGGTGGGATCTGTGAACTATAAAATGTGTGTTGTTGCTCAATAAAGTCATTTTCAAACGGTTGTTCCCCTACACCAGGGGTGTCAAACTCAATTTAATCGTGGGCCGCATCAACATTATGGTTGCCCTCAAAGGTATCTGTAAGACTATATACTGAGACTATAGACTGAGATGATGCGTGGACCTATATGGGTTGGACTTGATGGACGTATGTCTTTATTCAACCCCAAATACTATGTAACTATGTACCTATATATATATAAATGTATCTAATCTTTATCATAATTGCCTCTGCATTCGATTATGACTGGTTTTAGTAATAACTTAATACCTAGATCTGAAAGTAGAAGTCTAGGAAATGGCCTGGTGGGCCGAATTCGGCCCCTGGGCCTTGAGTTTGACACATGTGCCCTACACTGTGTCCCGACCAGTGACCGGGAGAACGTATGTGGCTGAGAGAGATTTTGGTACACGGGCAGAGATTCTGTTAGCCATTACCACTGACCCTAGGTATAGGTTGCCATGACACACTGCAAAGTGCATGAAATGGGCAGCAAGGCCATACACATCTGCGATATAACCTTCGCAGAATTAGAATCGAAGTAAAGAAGTAATGAAGTCCAAAATTCTACTCACCATAATCTATGAACATGGAATAAATCAAGTAAACACAACATATCAGATTCACCCAGTTATGAATAAACCTCGGAGTCATGAAGTTTCTTTAGGGTGTTAGACACTAAAGGAGACCTTGAGCATTCCATCATCAAGTCTACAATCAAACATTTTTGGAATATTGTTAATTACTTACCACAACCAGATGGTGTTCTCCAGTCATATACTTTAGCTCCTTGTCTCCTGCAGATGTTAGAATAGGCATTGAGGGCCGCGCAGAGGAACTGCTTTGCTCCACCGTTAATGCAGACATCATATAAGCAGCTATCAAAGAAGTTGTTCGGGTTAACTTTTGGCTGACACTCTCTGAAAGGCCCATCAGCTTTGCTGATGAGACCACATTTATTGTCACCTCCATACAGTCTCTTTTGGGCATCATCACAGGTTGGGCAATTAAGTCCAGGGCAAATGTCAAAGCAGAAGGCATCCCGGTCATTGACTTTCCAACTCTTGGCCCAATCTATGATGGAGGTGACTGCTTTGTTATCAGAAGTGATGAGCTCATCCTTGGTATTTTGGTTAAAGTTACCACACAGACCTTGCGTAAGGCCATAATAGCTGCTTGGGAGTGTGACCACAACATGGTTGTTATATTCATAGGTCACCTGTAGACCAAAATCTGTGCCAATGACGGCATATGAGCCGCTGATGCTTACCAAGATCATTCCATTTAACAAAGTTATAGGAAGATAGGTAATGAAGTCATTCACCTGTTTAGTGAAAGAGTAGAGAATAGGATTAAAGCTTTGCTTTTCAACAAAACCATTTAGCTGAAATAAGAATATATGAAGTCGTACATTTAGCGGTTAGATAATGCAGAAACGCAAGGCATTCGTTAATAAATCTATGATATGCTTGTATAAGTTAGTCACGTTGAACTGGGTTTGTTCTGTAATGTTTGTTCATGTCACCTAAGGCCTGTTGAATGTGATTAGATACTACTAGTACAAATCCTGCCGCCTTCACCTTCGTAACATCTCCAAAATACGCCCCTTCCTCACCAATGACACCGCAAAACTACTCATCCACTCCCTTGTTATCTCTCGGCTTGACAATTGTAACTCCCTCCTCATTGGCCTACCTCTACACAGGCTCCTCCCCCCTTCAGTCTATCATGAATGCAGCTGCCAGACTCATTCACCTGACCAACCGCTCAGTGTCTGCAACTAACAGAATCCACAAAAACTATCTTTTTCGACTATTTTTTATAACTTACCCTAGCTTTACCAAATTCTCCCTTCATAAGAGTGATCTTGAATCCATACATGTAGATGTTGACAGTCCTAACATATGACACAGCCTGGTTACCTCTATTGTCGTTCTTCTCCTCAATAGTAAATGGCACCAAGCCAATGTCTTTGCCATCATATTTAGATAGGATATATGTGCAGGTGCCCTGGAAGTCATAGTCGTAGCCATCAAAAGTATGGTAATGGGGGTCTCCCCAGGCCCAGCAAATTCCTGTATAATCTGGGACACAGACTGCAATCCCTTTTTGCACCATGCACTTTTCCTTGACCCTGCACCTGACAACCTTGCATGGATCTGAAATAAATGAAAAACAAAAGTCAAAAACTATTGTGTTGTACAAGTGTCACCATATATTGAATAAATACATACATTGCATTCCAATCAATTGCAAGACACAATTGTAAAAGGATTGTTCAGATTATGTGGGGTCCCAAAGAAGACCAAGAACAATAGGTCTATCATGAATGCAGCTGCTAGACTAATTCACTTGGCCAACCGCTTAGTGTTTGCAACCCCCCTCTGCCGATCCATACACTGGCTTCCACTCGCCCAGAGGATAAAATTCAAAATATTAACAGTCACCTATAAAGCCATCCACAACTCTGCCCCCGGATATATCTCAGACCTTGTCTCAAAGTATCACCCTAACCGTCCACTACGCTCTTCCCTACACCTCCTGCTTTCCAGCTCCCTGGTCAACTCCTCCCATACTGGCCTCCAGGACTTCTCTAGAGTCTCTCCCATCCTCTGGAACTCTTTACCCCAACCTGTCCGTCTATCTCCCACCCTGACTGCCTCTAGGCGTTCCCTAAAGACTCATCTCTTCAAGGAAGCCTATCCCACCTCAACGTAACCACTCAACCATCACGTTCTCAAACAATTCATCCCCACACAGCTACCTCCTCATGTATC